AACCCTACGCAAAATGTGGCGCTAAAGCAGCGTTGGATCAATTGAGCTTTCACTAATTAAAATACATTCGTGTATAATAATTTGCGGCGTAAATTTTATATTTAGGAATATTTTTTGATTTTGACAGCTAGTGGTACTACTTGTGTGACTTGCGTTGTACGACGTTATATCCAAGTTACATTTTTGGGCTTAACGTATAACTGCAATCCAACAAGCAGACTTTGGCCATCAAACTTAAGCTGAATATTCTGAGCATCTGTCGAAATGGCTTGATACAATAATGCAGCTGAAGCCTTGTTTCCGATGTCTTTTTTTATTTTAAGTCCCTACTAATAAATATTTCGCCAAATTCCTCGCATGATTGCCTCGTGAAAATTATTGCGTCATTCACAGCATGCTTCATATGCAAGCCGTGATTACCTATTCGGTGAAATAATTGGCTCGCATTATTGGCCATGGAAGGGATAATTGTCTTGTAGAAGTAATCTGAGGATTTCAGGAAGATTATAACACTGTGAATATGTCAGACAACCGAAGGTGTATTTTCGCATTGTTGGCGGTGCACCATTGTAGTGACGCCAGAGGTTTGATGTGTACATGACTGCGAAAACTGAGCAGGAAGGATGTTGTTATCCGGATCATAAGAAGTGCTTCATTTCATACTTCCATATAAGTTACTACTTACTTTAAATGTGATTTTTTTGTGAAATACAAGCGTAATTCGGATAACATTGTTTTTGGTGCTACCGAAGCGTGGTTTTATGGTTCGATTGAGGCGAGCAGCACGCTAGAATAGCAATCATGAGCGAGCGCTAGTAGCACACCACCACCGCTACTGCGTCAATAAATAAGTTGAACTACGCGCCATCTGCATTTCTGCTCTTCTTTCGGCCGGGCTGCGTCAGTGATTGAAATTGTCCGTTATGATTCCATTTAGAAAATATCATTGAAGCAATGTGTCTCGGATTAGTTGATTGTTCGCCACGAGGATCGTGAGGTAAATCAGCACTCTATCGAGGAGATGTGCGCAATCATGAATTTCGGTGGCGTAGCTACTAGTGTAGCAATCACGCTTGTCCAAGTAGCTAGGTTGTGCAAAAATTGATAGCTAGACTTTAAGTTAGGGTAGGTTCTTACTAAAGGACTAGAGTACAATGCTGCAAACGACTGCAACTGTGGTATACGTTTGTTTGGCGAAGATGGGTCAATTGATGATTTGATCTAATTGGTAGCAATGGGTTGCAGTAATTAAATGTTCACTTTATAAAACATGGCAG